ATTCAGTCACTTGATGAAAGGATAACTCGCAGAGTGTCAGGTATTCAGATCAGAAAGTATATTCCAGCTGAAGCGGTTCCGGTACCTGCCCTTCCTGAAATAACCTTGCCGGATGTTAAAAACGCAGAAGATATCCATAAAGAACGTTATTATCAAATAGAGATCCCTGCAGTGCCCATACCCCCTCCCCGTCGAAGACGTCAACTAGTGCCATCAGTGTTACCACCAACACCAGTATCAGTACCATCTAACATTTCTCTCACGACCCCAAGGAGATCGTCTCGAACGAGAAAGTTTCCAGATAAGTTAGGCTTCTAATCTGTTAATGTTAGCCGACTATGATGAATGTGAAATTGTATAATTTGTCTCGTTACTATGTTTTTTTGTTTTTGTCTTGTTACCATGAGTTTATTCAATAGGATGGTAGTAGCCCTTAAACAAGTAAGTTGTACCAGTTCGGACTTAAAAAACGTAAAGGCTTGGGTAAATAGAAGAAGTAATTTTCTTGTATTGTACATTGTTTTAGATGAAACCTGCTGTAACATAATTTTATGACTGGAAGGGCTTGGTTGATATTAGTATTTAACATACAATATCAGACCATGTAGTGTAAAATTATGGTTGTGAACTGACGATTATTTATCTTTAATGATGACATATTTTTAGCCGTAAGGGCGGGATGTGTCCATTTTGGTTAACTACCCTTTAAAGATAAGTATGTGTGTATATCTGATCCCGGTAACTGTTACTCTTTGATGTACCTTCAGGGGCTCATTGATGTTTTTGCCTTTAGTGGACTTTACCGTGTTTAGAATTGACTGTGTCAGCGATAGTAGGGCATTCAGTACAAGGTTTATCCAATTGAGGCCTAGTTGTCATGACTAAGCTGTTTACGGGGACCGTAAACGTTCTGCGGAGGAAGAATGTGGGCTGGTATACTACTGTTAATCCTAAAATGTAATAGTAACTTGGGTTTGTGGGCTGGTATACTACTGTTTATTCCAAAATGTAATAGTAACTTGGGTGCTTATTAAAGGGGCTGAGGTGACTAGGTGCTAGTTAAACCCAAGGGGTTAATCTAAGATATTGGGGATGAACAGGCCAGGGAAATCTAAAATTTGATTAAAATGTTATCGGCTCACCCTGGTCGTTAAGGGCTACGAGCTCTATGCAGGTGCATGAGTGACACGGAATGATGGAGACACCCGCGGTGATTTATGTCTAAAGTTGAGTCCGGGCATGCCGCTGGACGTCACGGTTGGATCATGACTCATGATCTGCAGGTGGACGTCAGAAACGATTCCGATGACCTTAGGGACTTATTATCGCCTGGGCCGGATAGTTAGACGCGAGCAGCGTAGGGACCTGTGGTGGTCAGTTGTTAGGTGTGAAACGCGGCGGGAGTGCCGTGTGGTCGTACGTTAGCTCAAGCGGTGTATGACACGATCGTTAGCCCTGAGACAACGGGAAGATCTATAGCGGTCAATTATCGGGTGTGAAACGCATGGGTGCATAGTGACCGGTGTTATCTCGAACGCCGAGGGATGGCGTGGAGCCCAACTCGCGACCCTATAGCTCTGGGGAGATGATAAGGGGGTGAGACTAACCTATATATGAGGAAGGGCGACTATGTTGAGGTCTTTCTCCTACACACATAGCTGAGGCTAGACACGATGGTCTAGGCCTCGGATGGTGGCAGCCTTGAAGGCTGGCCACTAAGGCTGGATTAGTGGCCCAGCCGATGATTTGTTGCTGTACATATGTATTTCGTTCCAGATATTTAGATGTGTGACCTGATGTTTATACATGTGGCCAATGTTGTACCAGTGGCCAAACATTTGCCGTGTAGATATGTTCTTCGTTCCAGTGGCCATTATCTTTGTGGCCCAATGTTTGTACCAGTGGCCCAATGTTGTATTCCAGTGGCTGGAAATCTCCCTGCCGCTTGAGGGTCGAGCTAGATTGTTGTGAGTACTGATGAGTATTCATAGAAGGATTCAAACCGTGTTTGCTTAGTGGAATCAGAACTAGTGATGATAACATTTACTCGTGTGATTCTGAGATTACGTAGCAGTGCAAGTAGTAAAGTTAGAACTAGAGACAATGACATTTACGTTTTTGATTTTGAGATTACCTAGCAGTACGAGTGAAACTAGAACTAGGAAGAGCAACGTTTACACTTGTGATTCTGAAATTACTTAGGCAGTACAAATATTTAAGTTAGGACTAGAGGATATGACATGTGTGAATTCTGAGTTGTGTAAATGTAGATTTGCTATTCACACTTATATATGTGTTTTCTATGAATTAATGTCAGTAACCACGGTGAATAATTCCACATCGAAATGTAAGTTTGATTATTATATTTGTCTTTTTGACTTGTATTAGAAATTCAAGTGATGTTTTCTTGAATATGAAAGACTGGCCAGGTCTTATCCGTATTGTGTCTTTGCTTTTGACATATAAACCTTTGTGACGTCAAACAAAGATAAATAAATGCATATTATGTGTGTTTACTATGTTTTATTTTTAGTTTAATATTGGTGTTGTATAGATTTTAATTAGTTTTGCTCAGGTCTTATTAGACCCCTTTGTCACCACGCAAAGGTGCACGGATGAGTGAATAAGATCACCTCTTCGGTTTATCCCCGCCCTAACATTTGGTGTCAGAAATGGGATACTATTTCTCGACGAACCCCTAACATATATTTTTTGGATTTCGTCCAACGGGGAAGGGGGAACCCCCTACTTTGAGGAGTTGCCTGAAAGAAACTCTATTTTCATGTAGCGAGACGCATTGTGACCTTCCACTATAAAACTTTGTGACTTCATCCTCTGTATTCTTTTCTTGATCCAACCATGCGTGCAAACAAAACAGTAGGCTAGACAGTAGAGGCTTGTTCGTTTCTACAATGGTGGAACGTTAAACAGCATGTGTTTTTTTTCAATGAGATTTAACTTTACACCGTTATTTGTTAAATAAAAATCAACCCCTAAATGTGTTATAAGGCAGGGAAATAAATAGCCTCATAGTGGCTATAATATGAAGTAGCACATGATACTACTGATATATGTATATGTATATGTATATATATATATATATATATATATATATATATATACATATATATATATATATATATATACATATATATATATATATATATATATATATATATATATATATATATATATATATATATATATATATATATATATATATATATATACATATACGTTTATGTAGGCCTTCTAAAAGAAGTTAGGCCTAATAACTATCATCCCCCCCCCCCCTCAACCTCATACCACCCCTGCTCCAACGATTTCCTCGGCCGAATATAAAACAGTTATGGACAATTATGGACACATCAGCAAGACATGAGATAAATATCAGACTATTTTTAGAAATGTTATATGCAAAAACTGAAATAATGTGCCTTCAGGTGTCACCTTACAGGCTATGCTGGAACATTAACTATTTGTAAGGTAAAGTTACATTTAAAAGGCAAGGATATAGCACACGCTACTGATATTTTACACACTTGACAAATCGATCAGCAAGGACGTAACATGTTTCGAACAAGGATATCCCTCGCGCGTTGCCACGATCCTAGAATAAAGGAAATCCAAGGACAGTCGTCAAAGTAGACCTATACAATTGGGTGCACCGTCAAAACGGCCAGTGACAAAAAGTCCCGACAAAACGGCTCCGACAAAACAACACAGTCGAATTAGTCAAAAGAGCTCCCATATATTAGCTCCCGTCTAAATGGATTCCCGTTATATTTACCTCATATAATCTCCGGACAAATGGATTCCCGACATATTGGCTCACCACATTTGGGCTCACACCATATGTTTTTGCCAATGTGAATAACTATATATTGATGGGGGGGGGGGGGGCGCCCCTAGCGCCGAAACAGGTCGTTATGCCTCTAACAGCCACATGCAGTTGCTGCTTCCATTAGCACCATTATATATCAGCACACACTATTTATAGAAAGGAAACGTGTAAATTTTCGTTGATTAGGACTCGAGTTTAATTGATTCAATGTAAACAATGTCAGCACTACATTTCTTGGATCTTAGTTTGCCTTCATTACACTCAACATTAGACAAAACTTTGAGTGTACCCCGCAAGGGTAAGGTAGAACTCGGCCATCCCCCCCCCCCCCCTTCAAGAGCTCATGTTACAATACCGCAAGAGTACCGGGTGCCACCCTTGGTTCGATTTAGTCATCGTAGTGGCCTACCGTATCCCTAGTATTATAATATAGGTTGCTCTTGGTCTTGTTTGACCGTTGATTCTAGTTGTACCACTGGCCCCACTGCAGAATTTCTTTCAGGAATCTCTTCGAGGGTGCAACCCTCCCCCTTATTACCCGAATGAAATTAGAAAAAACATTTTTTAAAGAAAATATTATTTTGACCAGTGTCCGCACTTTTCTTTCCTCCTCCCCCCCCCCCCCCCCCGCTCCCCCTTCTGGGGGTGTACTCAACAGAACTATATTGATATTTTATTCAATTATTCTACGACTAAGGCGCCATCACCCTTAAAATGGTCGCAGGCTGTTCCCCTGCTCTCTCTCTTTCCCCCCCCCCCCCCCCCCCCCCCACTTGCGTACGCTACTTGACATCATGGGAGGAGGTCGTCATTTTGTGACAGTGTGTGACATCTTTTTGGATGGAGGTCAGGATTCACCATTTTAAAGTTAGGTAACTCATCTAATTTTAAATAAAGGTAATGTCCCTTGATCATCAAGAGTGGTCGTTCGTTTATTATGTTATGTAAAATTTCAAACACGAGAATAAAATAAAAAATTTAAAATTGAAATAGATCTAGATCTAGATCTACTCGATTTAACATTTAATAGATTCTATCCAGATCAAGATCTATATACTTAATACTATATACTACTATATAGAATCTAGGTCTATCCTCATAAAATCGACCTTACTTAATTTTTATAGTACTTAGTAGTACTTAGTAACTTAGTACGTAGTAGTATTACTTACTTACTCAGTTACTAGACCTAGTGAGTAGTAGGCTAACTTCTAAGTCTTGTCTTAATCTAACTAATCTAATATTAATTAATATTTTATTATTTGTTCTACATCTACAATCTAGATCTCTAGATTAGAAGAATAGATCCAGAATCTTACCCATCGGCATCTATTATCTAGTAATATCTAGTTCTAGTTAGTACTAGTAGCTATAGCTAGAAGATGATAGATCTAATCTAAATCTAGATTCTAGTAAGAACTTTAGGTAATCTATCGTTTTAGGTAGATCTATGTAAAATCGCCCGCGACTAGTAATGTGAAAAACAGGTGACTCCTTAAATTTTAATAATTAGATCTAGATCTATTTCACATTTTGAGGAGGATTAATTTTTTTTAAAAATACAAAAATGTTTCCTTGTTTCATTTATGTACCTGTTTTTAAACAACTTAATTAAAACTTTTCAGTAATAAATGAAGACTAGCGATGTTTCCAACAGATGCAACCATGCTCATTTACTATAGCAGCCATCTTGTTAATTTTTTTAATTGTGAACTTGTAGCGCAAGATTCAGGGGAAGCCACTCTAACTTACAGATGGCCGCTTTTAATATAGCAAATCCTGCTAGCAAACACTGCTGTTTTAAGTTAATTTCTTGCCTATATTGATATATTTAGCCATTGATTTAGGTTTATTATCCATTTATCTATAATATTTGACACAAATATATCACAATATACTTCTATTAAAGCCTTGACAATGAGGTAACTTTATCATACATTACTAGCCGCTGGCGATTTTACGTACCTAAAACGATAGATTACCGAATTATATACTATATAATTATAGAGTATATAGATAACTAACTACTAATCTAGATTCTATTAAGTCGACTTAGTCGTAAGTTAGTACTCTTAGTAGAGTAGGTCTCATAAAATTCCCGTTACTTTGAAACTTTACTTTTATCATTAAAGGGTAAAAAAATGTGAAAATAATTGTTTGAAAAAGAAGTTGAGTCTAGAATCTAGATCTATGATCTGTATTTCTTAAAGCTTTGGTCAACATGTTTAGTGAAATACTTTGGAGTTACAGCTTCTTGTTAACTTTGATATCTGTTATTTCCTATGTTGTAACTATATTTCAAATATTTCAATGCTTTTGCAGAGAAAATGGAAGAAGATGATGACATCTGGAATTACAAAGTTTCTAGTAAAGTTCTGAACAAGGAAAGAAAAAATATACGATTAATTAAGAATTCACCACAGTTAGTTGAAAAAAATGAGCATGCATCAAAAACAAAAGTTTCAAAAGGTAGACTATACTTTTTAAAATGTATTTGTATACTTTTGCAAGTTTTTTGTTAAGAAAAAATTAAATTGTGGTCTTTAATAATTTTTTTTACATTTGTTGACAGGTAAAATTACTAAAAAAGCATCTGTAAAAGAAAAGACAAATAAATCTGTAACCAGTGCACAAAATAATGTCAAACCTGAAGTAATTGATGCAGATTTATTTGATGATGACAGTTTTACAACTGAAAAAAAACCAAGGCCTTTATCCAATGAACACAAAGTATTTAGAGGCTTATTTAGTCCAAATAAGCAAGTTAAAATAGAGTCACCCTCTTCTCGAAAACCTAAACCTACCACCAAAAAAGGTTCAAGTGCTAAAAAGGCTGCCAAACCTAAAGTCAGTTACAGAGCAGTGAAGAAAAATGTTTCACCAGTCCGCAGTTCATCTTCGTCTCAAAGTTCTATTTCATCCTCTCCTGTAAAAAGTGGTTGCTCTTCTCAAAGCAATAACATTCCAAATTATTTTAATTCAGAGGTCAAAACAAAAAAAAGAAAAAGTTCTGAAAATATAGATAATTTTCTTGATTTTACTGATGAAGAGCTCTTATTTATAAAAGAATCAGAATGCGTGAATCAAGATAGAAACAAGAACGCTGAGATATCCAACGCTCTAGTGGATAAATATAAGCATGGGAATGATGAGACAGAAAAGAAAGAAAGCAAATTAGAAAGAAATAGTTGTGATACAAAAGCTGAAATCATTAATGAAGTAGAGGGCAAAAGAAATGATGAGTCTAGTAATATTTACCAGTTACAAGACTCTGATGCTGATAGCAGTTCACCCATTAAACGTGAAATTCACTCAGCTAGTGAAGTAACAAACATTGCTAAAGATAAATATAATGAAAAGATAATTCATGCCATAGTTGACAGTGATAATCCAAAGGCCATTAACTTGTTTGGATCAAGTGAAGAAGGTGGATTTTTCAATGAAAGTGAGAATTTAGATATGTTTCTTGATGAACAGACAAAATCAGAAGAGTCTAATTCTTCAGTGACCAAACAATCAGAATCTTTTTGTGATATAGAGCAAGTAAACTCAAGTGAATCTGTGATTAGATCTAATAAAAGAAGTGACTTCTACTCTGTAGCCTCAGGGTCATCTTTCGATGAACCCAACTGCTCAATGCAGAATGATGTATTTTTAGCAACACACTCACCCCCAGGCAATCAGGGTACACTGCCTCTTCTGCCAACTAAACAAACTTCAATTTTTTCATTCTTCAAGTCAAGTGCACCTGCAAAATTTGTTTCAAATTCTCTCCCAAAAAAAAGTGTCTCTCAACTATTTAAAAATGTCACATCTCGGCCCAGTTTATCACGGGAGAATTTCAAACAAAGATCTAGTAAATCATTAGTCCAAGAGAAGTGTGAAACGCCTGACTACAATAAATCTGCAGAGCCTTTAACTTATACAGAAGAAAAGGAAACAGGCTTAAACACCAACACTAAAAAGTCATGTCCTTTCTACAAAAAAATACCAAGTAATTTTTATTTTTGAATTTAAATTTTTTTAAATTGCAAGTTTTTGGTTAGATGAGCTTCAGGATTTTAAAAATAAAGAAAGTTCTGTTTTTATTTTTTTTAAAAATGTATTTGTTATTTCAGATACAGCTGTAACAGTTGATGCATTCCGCTATGGTGTGATACCTGGCTGTCAAGCTTACATTCTCACACATTTTCATTACGATCATTATGGAGGGCTCACTAAAAAATTTGCCCAGCCTATCTTCTGTAGCCAGGTTTCTTTTTTATTTACATCATTATTTTTTATGTGATTAATTTTTAAAAAAAACAGTTATATATTTTAAATAATAACTTTCACTTATTTGCTTCCAAGTGCATCGTTATATTTAAAGAAACAAAGACATTTGTTATGGTATACTGAGAAACAAAATTACATATTTCTTCAATTTTCAGGTAACTGGGAATCTTGTAGAAAGCCGAATAGGTGTTGATAAAAAATGGATAAATCGTTTGCCAATGTGGCAACCCTGTAAAGTGGCTGATGTAACTTTAACACTTATGGAAGCCAATCAGTAGGTTGTTTGTTGAATGGTTCCTATCTAGACTGGTATAAAATACTGTTGTATAATTTTATTTCTGTATATAACCTGAATTTTAAACTGGTTTTGAAATTGTTCTTAGATAAAGATTTGATTTAACTAATGCACCATGTTTAAACTTCACTCTTTTCCTTTCTAAAAACCCTGTGTTTGTAAGAGAGTGAGCATTTGTCTATTCTCAGTGTTAATGCTACAAGGCTGTTACCTCAAAACATTAACAACAGTTAAATGTTATCAAGCTTTAACAATTTTAAAAATTCTCTCTCCTGCAGCTGTCCAGGTGCTGTCATCATTTTATTTGAGCTCAAAGATGGCAGAAAGATCCTTCACACAGGGGACTTCAGAGCTAGTACTGAAATGGAGAACTATGTCATGTTAAAAGATGTTGTAATATCAGAACTGTATCTAGATACAACGTAGGTATACCCGCCACATTGCAGTTGAATTATATTTTCCTTTGTTTCTTTTTTCCAAAACTAATTTTAATTTAAATTTATATGAGCATTTATTATTATTGTTGTACAGTATACCTTACTGTACAACAAAGTTTTTAATATACATGGATGTTATTTTGTCACTTTCTAGATTCTATATGTAATTTAATTATTGAAGAATAATACAATTTTTCTCTTTCACATTTTTCTATAATTTACATTTAATGTTGTTTTATTGAATTTTAAAAGAATGTTGTTTTTTTTTCAAAACTGTTATTTTATTTTTTCTTGCATCAACAAGGTACTGTGATCCTTCATACGCCTTCCCTCCTCAACATGAGGTGGTCAACTTTGCTGTTACCCTGGTCCTTAAGCATGTGAAAGATAACCCAAACACACTGATAGTGTGTGGATCCTATACTATAGGAAAAGAAAAGATTTTTATAGGTTTGGATTAAACTTACTTTTAAACCATATTTGAACAGTTACCTACTAATGTTTAATGTAGTTATCATTAAGCAATATTTGTAATCATTTGTTTAAATAGTTTACATTTTATGTGCATAATGTTAACATATCTGTGATATACTAGTATAAAATTATAAAATACCTTTCTACAATTTGTGTGTGCTTAGGATAAAAAAAAACTATTATAGACTAGATAGAAAAGATTGATAAGTTTTTGAAAATAATTTAAATCTAAGGACATTTGATTCTGCCCACTACCCACTAGTATTTTCATTGATCATTATGTGACTGACAAAGTTTTGTTTATTTTTTTCCTTACAGCTATTGCCAAGATCCTTGACTCCAAGATTTGTGTGATGAGTGACAAGAAAAAAGTTTTAGACTGTCTGAATGATGAAGAACTAAAATCTAGAGTAACATTAGACTGGTCTAAGGGACAGGTTCATGTTCTGCCTATGGGGAAATTGAACCAGGAGGTACAAATCAAACCTTTTTTTTTTTAAATTTAAAATTTGTAATGTTATCTATAAAATGTAGCTTTCTATCATGAAAAAGCTGTATGATTTTTAAAAATCTCCCTCAGGCATTGTTTGAACACTATCGCAAACATTCTCACTATTCATCTGTTCTTGCATTTCAACCAACTGGATGGACACACAGTGAGAAGTTGTTATCGTTAGAAAATTTGAGGCCAAAATGGAGTAAGAATGGTGTCACACTTTATGGTAAGAAATTTTTTTCAAATGTGTTATTTTAAAATGATGTTTAGTCAGATTTATTAGTAATGGAAATGGTGTTAATAAACACATTTTTGTAGTCTTGTGGGATTTTCCTTTTATTGTGCTAAAGTTAGCAGATTTATCTCCCTTCTTCCACCAACATTTAAGGATTTTTTTCTATTACTTTTGATGTGGAGTTAAACTAGTATTTTTTCATATTTTTGTTGTGCTTGAATAATTTAATTTAGTGAAATGTTTTTTTAGGCTTTTGTATAATTTGTTAATTACATACAAATTTGATTTATACAAGAAAAAAGCGAAGTTAAAATTTTAACTACATTTTTTTTTCTCTTAGGCGTTCCATACAGTGAACATAGCAGTTTTCTGGAGTTGAAGCGCTTTGTCCAGTTCATCAGACCCAAAAAAATACTCCCAACTGTCAACAATGGAAATCCTACAGCTCGCAAAAAAATGGAAGATATTTTCAAGCAATGGATGCAAGAAAAGTCTGAAACAGTAGCTCACTTTTCACAACAAACAAAACTTAACAGTTGGGTGAAATAGTTAATATTTCATGTAAATTATGGATGTTTGTGTTGATAACATTGTCATGTTTCCTTTTAAACAAGTTATTACCAATATTAATTAAGATTTGGATTGTGTTTATCACTCAATTCACGCATTTGATTACTGGGCATTGATAGTTTTTCAAAATAATTTTTTTGTATTTACTCAACTTTTGTCAACCACATTGTGTTCAGATTGTTAATACATTTTTACTACAAATTTATAAATAATTATACTTCTCTCTTCATACTTTTTACTATGAATCTATGCATTATAAAGTTTTTAATATTCCTATTCATTCTATACTTGTATATTTTTTTGAAGATTTTTACTGCCAATAAGCTGGGAGAAAAAAATTGGAATGTATGAGCCCCTTTCTTCTATGTTCAATTTTTTCTCAGGGAAGTATTTATATATATATCTGCTACACAACTCTACTTAATTGGCATTACAAGTCTTCTACAGGACTTATTTTGTTAAGTTATGAGATTATTATATGATTTACAAGTTTCAACAAAAATGTGTCCAATATGTTTGTACTAGCTGTTTGAGAACATGTTTGCATACTTATGTTACCCCTTTATCACTCTCTTGAGGTGATTGATTGAAATTTGCAGGGGGTATAAATATGCCATTCATGGATTATTGTAGTTAAGGCAATTATAGTATTAAAAAATTAAGTCTTTTTCCTTTTTTTTTCAGCAAAGTGTTGATAACCATAATAAAAATGTAATATTTTTTTGTAATTTACATTTCAGCATAGATGTTCACTCATAACTTTGTTAACCTATATACTTTTTCTCTCAGTCACTGATTGTTAAATATATTTGAAAACTATAATTTCAACTGCTAATGTAAACTATTAATTAGTGACAAAACTGATAATAAAAATACTTGGATGAAGTAAAGCAGGACTTATTTAAATTTATGAAACTGAAATGTAAAATAAATATCAAAGTAATATTTTTTTTTTAAAAACATGATTAAAATAAAACTGCATTATAATTATTTTTTTTAAGCTCAGTATATGATTTTAATATCCCTCATCATAATTGTTGATCAGTAATTGTTAAAAAATTTGAAAGAATGTATTTATGAAAGAAGAAAAACAATAAATATTTTGTTACAGTTACAGCAAGTACCTGAGTCAATTTTTTTCCCATGTATTTCCAACTGATGAAACCTTAACTTTCTTTTTTTATGTTAGTAAGGACAACAGTATTGAAGAGTACAGGTGTTAATGTATTTTCTCCACAAGATCATAAATTATATACAAATCTAAAGAACATTTCTCAAGTTATTTAATTCCTTAACATTTAAAAGTAAAATTCAAATATAAATTGGTACTTTTATGTTTCACATAAACATATGAACATCATCTATCCAGCATTAATGAAAACAGAAAAACATTAAAAAAAATGTCAGAAAAAAATATTTCTGTTAGAAGAAAAGAAAGTGTGTATTTGATGATATTGAATTTTTTTATTGGTAAAATCTGTTGGTTGATTAATGATGAGAATCAAATAGGTACAGTATATTCCTGAGTTTCAGACTTTGTACAGGGTTGGCAGGCCAATCCATACAAGCACAGAACCATAATAGATGAAAGAGACATAAATACAGTAAGAAAGAAAATTTAAAGGAAACATAAATAAAGAGTCATAATCTGTAACAACAAAAGTATCAAACTATTAATGATTACATTGTATTTTGTACAAGTATATATATAACACATAAGACAGAATAAACCAGATATTTTAAACCATCAACTATTCATTTATAATACAAACAGTGCATTCATTTAACCAAATCACTACAATGGAGTTTTTAAACCAAAACAAAACTAATTTCAGTTAAGTTACTTATTTTAGTTTATTCATGAAATAAACAGCAAAAATATCAATACAATCATAATCATTGACACAAGAAAAAGTAACAATCTTATGTTATTATTAATCTTTAACTTTAGTTCATAAATCTGTATAAAATTGTTAAATTATAGAAATAAATGCAACAAAGCAAAGAGTCTTGCCCTAAGAAAGTGTAGAGTAATGATTACATTTTTTAAAAATATATTAGGCTCAAATGTATACAAATCACTCAAGTATTCTCAGTAGACTTAATAGTTAAGAAAATATTTTCTGTTGATTGATCTAACTTAGCTTTAATGTATAGTTAAAACATCCTTCTATTTACAAATGGTTTGAAAGTAGCCCTCATATTTTAGTAAGTAAATTTAATGTGTATAATCCACATCTTGCAACCTGTAATGGTTTTTTTAGGTATAGATTGTGATCATTTAGCTTTTTTTTTTTGCATTGACAAGTATGTAGGTTATTGCACTAAAGTTGAATGATTAAAAAAAACCTCATTGAAATTCTTACAACCAGATCAGTTAATAAAGTTTGAAAAAAATTTTTAGTCCTTAAAGCATACATAAAATGTTCAACATTAATTTATACCACCACTAGTCCCATTGCTTTTTTGTGACATAACATACATTTTAATAATTAGTATTCAATTAATTAGGTATTCTCATGTTTTGGATTAGTAGTCCTTTAGTATCAACTGTGATCAACACATTTAATGGTGACTTTTAGGACAACTGCAGTAGAGCTTATTGTTTGATACCCAGGATATAAATTGTCTGAAAAATTTCAGCCATTCCTAACTTTTCCCCCCACCAACAAAAGTTTGAAGAACATCCCACAGACCAGGCCTATTCCACTCTTACAGCAGGATTTGAATTTGAGAGCTTCTTCCCCCAACAAAAAGCATGTAAAAAAAAAATCCTTATATTGATGTCGTCAAACAAGTCCAACAATAACCAAGAACATAAATGAAATTGTATATCAAGAATTATAATCCTACTATTAAATGCTGCCTTTAATTGCACTTCTGACATACACTGCAGTTATCATTTACATAGTGTAAATATACTTTCTACATGAAAAATGAAATGGTTAACAATAGAAAAAAAAAACATAGCATGCCTTGATAGTAATAATTTTTTTTTTTATCTTGGTAGCAAAAAATGTTATCATAAATGTGTCAAAATTCAATCCAGATACATGTACAAGGCTATTTTTTAAAATCAAATCAATATTTTAATAGATTAAATGTCAACAACTGTAGCAGGAAACAAGATGAATGTACATAGACAGTAAAGAGTAGAAAAACAAGCCAGGAATCACAAAGCAAGATTCAAACAGTTCGTATCACCGGCATAAGAACTAACCTCACAGCAGTATGACCCTAGACTACTTGCTGTGCTTAGTCCTTGACCTCTATCAATCAGTATTTACATAACCCTACTTTTTTTTTTTACAAACTTCTGTGATTGTTAACAAAAATGCATTACAATTATAAAATGACATGCTAATGAGTAGGAAATTATTTAACCAAGGTGCATTTTTGACATCTTACATTTTTTCCTTAAATTGACAGAAAGCAAAGGTTACATATTTTTATAAAGAATGATTCAAAGAATTCCTTTTCATTATTACAAGCACTTCTACAGTTGACTTATTTTTTAAAAAATAATTTATGGGAATAGGTTTTAAAATGGCTACTAGTTTAAAGGATGACCTAGTTTGCTTAAGAAATTTTCAAAAATTTCATGTTTGAAAATAAATTATGCAGTAACAACCATAAGTAAAATGCAGATAACTCAAATATACAAGTGAAAAAAAAATTACCAACCAAAAAAAAAAGAGGTAGAAAAATCTTTAAACTTTTCCAATTAAACATTACTATTAATTCTAATGTCTTTGTAATAGTCAGTTTTTCTTTGGTGCTTTTATCTGCTGCATTTGGCCAGCAGCTAGAAAACCACCATATCCATTCTGACGCACCATCTCATCATACGCAGCCAACTGGGCAGGCGTGGCATAGGTCAACATCTGAATGGGCTGGTTGATGCTTGGTACAGGAGCCTGCGCCCCTTGCTGCATGTAAAGACTCATGAATGCTGGGTGAAGTTGGGAATTCATGGAGAGAGCAGAGGGCGACTCTGGCATGTGAACTGCTTGGCTTTGGTGCTCAGACTTGGTCGACTGTGGAAATTAAATCATTTCAAGTTTAAAATAGTAGTTTAATCCTTTTCACATGTTTCCATTTTTTAAGGTATTTTGTAATTTGACATCAAAACATAGAATTTAAAACATTTTGAATTTAAATTGCTAAAGTTATAGATATTACTGTTTGGTTTACGTGCTTGCCATTTGTAATTTGTAAACAACAAAAAAAATCTTTTAGTAAACAAAAAATAAGACAACTATTTTAGGATAGTTTTTATGCATTTAATGCTTTGTCTTTTTACCCCTCGTTGATTTTGATAAAATCTAACCATAGTACGTTATTTCTTGAATTAATCTGTCAATGTGGAATGTAAAAAAGAAATATTCTTACTCTGGGTAATGCTGTAAACTGTGTACCAAATAATGCTGAGGTGAGGCGTCCATCTTTACTTGAGGTGGCCACAGAGCTGGACAAATGTGGGGATGGCATAGTTTTACTTGAGGATTGTTGCTGGCTAGGTAATAATCCATTAGAGTTATTGGGGGACCGCAACTGATCCATCACTTTACTGTTTGTATGGCCCTGGTGCATGTATGGCTGCTGAAGTTCTAATGGTGGCATAGGAGGAAATGAGGGAGGATAATGTTGAACATTTTTCCTAGAAGAGTTCTTCAACCTTGTACTATCTTGTTTAGTGCTATGCATTGTCTGTTGAGCTGGCTGTTTTCTTACAGCTGGGGAGCTCTGGCTGGCAGAAAACGACTGAGGTGCCTGTCTCAGTATCTGCCGAGGATCATCGAATCGTTGTCTAATGCTGGATGGGTGAACCATGGCGGCATTGCTGCGGGGAAGACCTGTGGAGCTTTTGATGCGGTCTAAGACAATGTCAGGGCTGGGGAAAACAGCTGTGGCAGGTGCTGTAGCGTTATCAAATGGATATGGTCTCTTGCGAGGCTGGTTGTGGGCTGCAGGCGGCGGGCTGGTGATTGGTGACTGGAGTGGAGAGAATGGATTTGTTGATGTTGGATGGAGGTAAATAGACAGTGGAGCTGGCGGAAGGTGAGGCTGTGGTCTGTGGCCCGGGGGCGTTGGGTGCAAAATAGGCGCCAAGTTTTGACTAGAGTTCACAAGTATATCATTGGTGCTGAAATGGTGAGATAGACTTTTGCTGTGGCCTCGCACTTGCTGAATGTGGTCATTGGGCAGATATGGTGGAGGTTTGTAGGGCGAGCTTACATGCGCAGCTTTTGGTATGGTTGGCCCAGAGCTGCCTGAAGACGATGGCTGTTGTGTCTGGGGAGACATGAACATTTTTCCAGCTTTATAATGTGAGTCATGGGGTAAAGCGCCACCTGTATGCCCAAGGTTTTGATTTGACTTTGAAGATGGTGAGAGAGCTGCTATAGAAGGATCATTGGTCCCAGTGGGTGAAAAGAATCCAGAGTCCATTTTGGTAAGAGGCGACAATGCCGGAGCTGTTGAGTTGGGGGTGGGCACCATACCCCAAGGTGGCTGCATCATCTGTGGGGGGAGCATCAACAAGCCTCCCCTGTACATCATATTTGCATAAGGTATGCCGTTGTTATCCCCTGGTATGGCAGCCCCAGCTGACATTGTTGAAGACTTGAGAGCCTGCTGGTGAAGTTGCTCCATATGAGAGTAGGGTAGGGCCCCATCAAAGCTCTTCAGCTCCAGTGCAGGGAAAGCACTGTTGCCAGCAATGCAGTGTCGAATGACTGGAATCTCCAGTACCTCAGTTTCTACAGGGGACTCTTGCTTGGAATGTTCTGTCATACCAGCCACAAGTTTTTCTTTACGGATTATTGATTCGTTGGTGTTTGCATTGGATACATTTTCATTTACTCTTTTTATTTCATCCTGAAAGTTAAAAAGAATTAAATTATAAAATTTTTAATAAACATGTTTAAAGGTATTCAATGCAATGAACTCATCAAGAATATATAGAATGAATTGACAAAATGTTTTCTTCAGCTATTTAAAAATAGATTTAATTTTAAGGGGAAAAGCAATCATAAAATCTACTGTCATCATGCTGAAAAATTAAATCTGGTTGATAATTTCTGGAGGATAATAAAACATCACATATTCAAATCCTTCCACAGTAATTTTTTTTCAAAAATAATTTAATCTTTTTTTTTCATTTAAAAAAGTACCTAAAACTAAGACAGCAAATTGTTATTAAGTCTAAGTTTCATTTCGACAAATAGTCTACATGATTAGAGGTAAAGCTCATTTAGTTTTATTGTATTAGTACTAATTTTTTTGAGAATCAACCACTATGTATTGTCAAAATGAAAGTGTTAGATAAAAGTTTTCTCCATGAGATGAGAATGACAAACGATAATGCAACAAAAAGTCTCCATGTGCAGAGTTAGTTTTGAAGCTGCTAAAATCTGACCTATAACTTGTTTAATTTTAAAAAACTATTTTTTAAAATAGTATATGTTTAACATAACAAGTAAATAGTAAACAACAAGCTAAGCATCCACAAAATTTTTAACATGACATACTAAATTCATCAATTTCTTATAGCAGATAGCTGTTGTAAAAACAGACTATCCAAGCATTGAGATAAAAGAATACAGCTAAGACTGCAGCAGCTGAAATGATGTACAAGCCATGAGTGAAAGCTAATATTCCCAAGCCAAATGATGCAGGTGAAATGGGGATGCATGAGCCATGATTTCACCCACTAACCTTAATGGTAGGCTCAGGATTATCTCCCTTCACCTCCTTCTCCTGGCATATTTCCTCCTTCACCTCCTTAACCTCTACACTCTGAAAGAAATGGCCAGTGTCAAAAGGCATTTCAACACAAGACATGCCCTTAATGGTCAATTATCTGTCAAAGTATTTCAGGTATTTTCAGGATTTTAATATGCATTAGGCCCATGGTGTTACTAATTATCTGTGATACACCGTTTTTGACAAGAGCATGAAGTATCTGAAGCATTATTACATGTCATTCCAAAATCTGACTTGGGTGTACATGATTAGCAAAAAATACTGCACCGGACAACCAATGCCACCAACAGTAGAACAACATACAGCAAAGCTGACACCAAAACAGGAAAAACATACAGCACAGTTGACACCAAAAGTGGAACAACATACAGAACAGCTGACACCAACACAGGAACAACATACAGCACAGCTGACACCAACAGTGGAACAACATACAGCACAGCTGACACCAACAGTAGAACAACATACAGCACAGCTGACACCAACAGTGGAACAACATACAGCACAGCTGACACCAACAGTGGAACAACATACAACACAGCTGACACCAACACAGAAACAACATACAGGCTAGCTGACACCAACACAGAAACAACATACAGTACAGCTGACACCAACACAGGAACAACATACAACACAGCTGACACCAACACAGGAACAACATACAACACAGCTGACACCAACACAGGTACAACATACAACACAGCTGACACCAACACAGGAAAAACATACAGAATAGCGGACACCAAAAGTGGAACAACATACAGCACAGCTGACACCAACAGTGGAACAACATACAGCATTATGGACTACATAAATGACACAAACACTGAAACCAACCTCTTGTTGACTAGTATCACCAGTGTCCTTGTCCACCTGTTCTACTCTCGCATCAGTCTCCTGCAAGTAGCGGTGCTTTTTCTTTGCTTTGATGACCTTCATCTTATGAAGATGTCTTTCATAAGGCAGCAGTAGCCTACAAGCAAGTAAACAGATAATAAATTATATTTCTAGTTCCCTTAATTAAATCATTTGAAGAATTTTGTTTTACTTTAATATTTTACCTTTCATAGTGTTTTCTAGTACAGGTAGCAGCGCTGGTATTACTTGAATTACCCCCGAGCTTGTCATATAAATGCTTCCACATTCTCCTGTGTGTTATCTAGAAAAAACAAACAGTATTCAGTTATGATCGGCAACAAAAATATTGTCACAGAAATACAAGATATTACTTAAGTAGCCTGTTAGAGAAGGAAAGTGAGACCGCATGGTTGAATGAGAGCATTTGACTACATCCCCGAAAGTCTAAAGTTTGTATCCTAGTCTCAAGTCATTAAGATGTCCCAGAGTCTACCCAGCTCTGATGGGTACCTGACTCAGGGAAAGTAAAGGCGCTGGCTATAGTGTTGTCATCACTATCCCATTATATGCTGAGCTCCTATGGACCATAAAGTTTAAAAGTGTACTTTAGGGCAGATTGTAGTGTCTGACCACAAAATCCCTTTATATACTGATGGCACTAAAACAGGCCAACTCTACTTCAGATGTCCCATGGACCATAAGGTTTAAAAGGGTGCTTAGATAATACTGTCAAACATAGTTAATTAACTCCAAATATTCTAGCTCTACCATCGACCATGCCACTGCCATATCCTATTATGTTTCTGGTCCTGTTGACGTCTCCCTGCCCCTAGTGTCTAGCCCACGTACCACAGCATGCACAGACCCAACATACAGATACTTACAGAGTCATACCCTCCTAGTTTTTCAGCTTGCTTGTAAAAGTAGAACAAATCTACTGTAAAATAAAACAATTTGAAAAAAAAAACAATTTTTCTACGGTGAACTTGACCTTTTGGAGGCTCATTAACTTTAGAAACCTACAAAAATAACTGCAGGAAAATATGCAACTGGTATTTTATCTTACATTAATATTAAAATTCTTAAGTAATTTTCTTTACAGACAGCTAAGTATTTAAAACCAGCTTTTCATTTAAAACACTTCAAATTATAAAATTAAGAAGAGTGATATAGACTTATTAAAAGAAAAAAACTTACTTTGTTTAAAACCTAGTGAAGGAATTCTTCCAATAGGCATCTTAGCATCGTGCATGAACTTGTGCAGCCCAATAAGGAAAGCTTGTTCCTCTGTACTCACTTTCTCCTCGGTGATATCAGAAGATTCAGTTGATCGCCTCGGCTTTAAAAATTGCAGGATGATAAAACAATTCAGTAAATTATTCTACATACATATGTAAAAATTAACACATAACCATTAAATTATTGAACATTTAAAACTTTCACTTTCAATATTATCATTGCCACACACATACATTTAAATATACTCTGCTATCAGTGCGAGTAAAATTAAACTACTGTATTATGATCTCACCCGTGATGATGAGGATATTGAGGGTGTTACATTAGCAAACATTTCTTCCATGCTGTCAGAGTCTTGTTGAGAATCTTTCCTTGATAGCTGCTTGCTCTTCTTTGCCTTAGGGCGACTTTTCAAAACTGGCACTGTTAAATTTAAAATACAATTTTCAAAAGGTTGCACTAAAAACAAGCACAGCTTTGTGTCAGTGTAAAAATATATTTAATATTTATTACCTTCACTTCATTTAAATTGATTTTTTTTTTAATGATGCATTAACTAATCTTAAAACATCTTAAGAAAAAAAATTGAATTATATCCCTTGGTTAATACTGTTAAATATTTTATTTACAGCATTGCAGGCTAAATTTTCTTTTTTTTTTTTTCAAAATATGTTTCAGTTTTCATTTTAGAGTTTATTTTACCACAGCATAACTAAATAAACTTTTTATATTTATTTGAAAATGTTTAGATATTGTTGTATTTTTTATTTAAATGTTTTGATGTTCCACAAAACAAAGCTTACACATATGGTCCATGCGTATCTCCAGTGTTTCTAATTCAGACTGCTCAAATGTTTCCTTACAAAACATCACCTTACAGCCTGGAGTTTTACCAGCAAACCCACCAATGGCTACAACAATGGCAAGGTTCAGCCATTCATTTTCACAGCCTTCTAGTCGTCTGCGCATTGCTCTGTAACGGCAATATTTGGGGTAGCTAAGAATTGCCACATTGGCAGCTCCGCTTACAGCTTTATCTGGCAAAGGATATAAATGTACAATACTTATATATTTTAAAAAAAACTGTTATGAAAGCAAATCTTTAATTAAAGAGAATGCACTTAAATTTTAAAGACTAAAAAAAAATTCTTAAAATAAAAATAATACATTTAGTGCTTGAATAATTTTATAAACTTCTTAACTGAATGCAAAACTCTCTTATTAAATGTTATGCTTTTTTTTAAACACATGAAACTTTTTCTAATGAAATATTTAGAAAATAAATAAATTGGTTTCAAGAGTGTTTGCTTACATTAGAAGGAAAAGAAATAATTAAATGTTTAAAAACAAGTTTAAAATTATTATTTTTAACTGAAAGTGTTCATTAAATATATTGTAGTTTGGATAATTTGTCTTAAGAGGCTATTAAGTTTAAATTGCTTTTTTATTGATTTTGTATGAAACCAAGAGACAGAAGAAAATGATAAATATCAGAATAATAGAAGAAGAATGACACGTATTAAAATGGTGGTAGAATAAAAGAAACTGATGAATATCAAACAGACATGTACATGAGCAACTGATTGGCTGAGTGACAGAACTATAACAGCAAATGATATGCTGAATTACAGGACTAAAAGAGCAAATTATGAGCTGAGTGACAGTACAACAAGAGAAAATTATTGGCTGAGTGACAAAACTGTAAGAGCAAATGATCATCTGAATTACAGAACTACAAGAGCAAATCATGTGCTAAGTGGCAGTACAAAAAGAGCAAATGATCAGCTGAGTGACAGAACTATAAGAGCAAATGATTGTCTGAGTGACAGGACTACAAGAGCAAATGATTGTCTGAGTGACAGGACTACAAGAGCAAATGATTGTCTGAGTGACAGGACTACAAGAGCAAATGATCATCTGAGTGACAGAACTACAAGAGCAAATTATGAGCTAAGTGGCAGTACAAAAAGAGCAAATGATTGTCTGAGTGACAGGACTACAAGAGCAAATGATCATCTGAGTGACAGAACTACAAGAGCAAATTATGAGCTAAGTGGCAGTACAAAAAGAGCAAATGATTGTCTGAGTGACACGACTACAAGAGCAAATGATCATCTGAGTGACAGAACTACAAGAGCAAATTATGAGCTAAGTGGCAGTACAAAAAGAGCAAATGATTGTCTGAGTGACACGACTACAAGAGCAAATGCTTCATACCAGATTCAAAGTCCTGGTTTTCCAGCTTGACTATGGACACCGTGCAGGTTCTGCTCATGCCGTTCTCATCCTGCACCAGGACACCGTTCCTGCCCTCGCCACAGCCCAGCCTCCCAGGGCAGCTGCTCTTGCCCTTATCACAACCATCCTTGACATAGTCCACCTCCTTCCTCCTGTCCCCATTGTTCTGGGCCACCTTGCTGCCCAGCTCCCCTCCTTTGAGGGCGCACTGAGTTGAGCTGCCATAGGTCCACTTGACATCACTCTGGATCAGTGGGACCAGGTCCTCCAACTTCAACACCAGCCTCTCACCTAGGGCAATCACTTCATCCTACAGTAGCAAGACAAGCAAACAAATATATTAGCCAAGTGCTCACATATGTTATGTCAACAGTGTATTGCCCTAAGTACCTACTATATGACCTATGAACTTAGTTCTTGAAAGCTTCAGCTGAGTTTCCTGGTAAAATGTATTTTACCAGAAATTTACAATTAATAAGTAATGATACACTCAGAAAAATATATATTAATTAAATGTCAATAAGTAATGCATTAAAGTTGCTAACAATGGGCTGGTGTTTTATTTTAAAATCTTATAAATATAATGAATTTACATTTTAACAAAAAGTTAATAAAAGGTAGATACTTAAAACCATAACACAATAAACAAAAAGTACTTCAAAATTAAAATGCATTACTTTTCAAAATATTTAAACCCCACAACATAAATCAGAATTCTTAACTATTTTCATATCTTTTTTTCAATTATTTCATTACTTCCGCTCATCATCGAACACCCCCCCCCCCCCCCCCCACACACACACACCACCAAATCAGAGACTTGTTATAAGATAATCTCGGCAGCGACACAGCTATAACAGAAAATTCGACTGCTGAAAAAGTAGCCTAAAACCAAATATACACAATACTGGCGTGTGAGGGGAGGGGTTGGAGGGGGGGGGGGCAAATACCCGAACCTTCCCTTTGGCATCAAGGCCGAGTATTTGCTTCCTTTAACAGCGATGGAAACCTGACAAATCATTAACGAGTGTAAAATGGATGACCTCCCTTGTGGATATCGTCTGTGTATTGTTACTGCTACAGATTTGTGCCAAACGATAAAAAATAATCCTGGCCATATGTTTATATTTATATCTTGTAAAATGGGAAAAGGGGGGCGCACACGTTAACCAATGCCTTTAACCCGTCCGGCGTGTAGGCCTACTATTTTGGGATGGTTTTTTTTTATTATTATTACTGTGAACTTTGACGTGTGTTCATGAATATGTATTTTTTGTTTCATAGAAAGTGTGATCTTTAATTGCACAATTAAAACGTTCAGATGTTTTTCTTTACATTTTCTGTTTCGATTTCTAGCAAGTTTGTACCCCCCCCCCCCCCCCTTCTTTAAAGAAACGACAACAGAAATTTTTAAACATAAATATAAAAAGGGCCAAGCACTAAAAGTTATGTTAATGACACCGGCCGTGTCGTCTGCTGGCTTTAACTACGTGCAAAAAGCGTGTGCTGATCGCTGAATTAGGCATGTTAATTATGTGTTGTCAAATTAACGATGTAAACACAAGCCTTGCTGGGGGGTTATTGTTTTTTTTATTCAATTCTTCGCTGACTGAAGAATGCCACTCATAGCACCGCCCCTTTTATTTTTCCACTTCAACATAAATTAAAAGTATACAGCCTCGACTATAGATGTATGTCGAGATTACAGAAATATATTATATTTATAACCTGATCCACGAACTAAACCAAATGCTGTGTCACCGCATAGGGTATTAACTTCTGTAATTTAACACAACTAAAAATACATGCATTCTGAAACAATAAAAATAGGACATGACAGGACTTGAAATGTTACTTAAAATAAAATAGATGTAAGGATACCTTGAGGACCAGTGGGTGTAATCAATACCTCTCCACCTGCCAGCTTACATCTGAATACTACCACCCCCCACCCCCTCTCTTCAACACTGAAATTGATTTTTTTTTCCCTACATTCGTAAACAGCTGAATAACTAGCTCTTTGTCGATGCATTGATAATGAATGTGTTTCCCTTCCTCGCGAGTTTAACTTAGTATAATCCAAATTTTGTTACGTGTATGGAGGGTTGTGGTGCATTAATATATTTATAATAAGCTATCTACTGTTTTATTAGGCCAGTTTAATTCATTTAAAATAAATAGGCCTAAAATAAATATAATTTGTTGGCCATTGAATGTCTGTATACATTGACATAAGGTAGAACAATATGTAAATATTGTAAACGTATATTGTTGGCTATTTTTTTTTAACTTTACATTTAATATCTAACATATCTAGCCACGAATTCACTTCCACGATCGACATTTTAACCACTTCTACCATACGCCACACCATTGTTGGACGGCTAGAGAGGACGTAGAGGGGGGAGAGGGGTGAAGCGGGAGGGGAGAGAAGGCAGCTTGTATCGCGATATTTGAAAACATGGCGACGTTTAGCTACGCTTACAGATCTCAACCAAAAATGTCAACCTTTCAACTAGAGCGTTATCGGCGAAATTTGAAGCAAAGAGTGTTTTCAAATATTTACTCTCAAAGCTTGCAGTTAGCTACACACACTGACATTGATTATTTGTTTTAAACATTTTAAATACGATAACATTTTAAAATATTATTGTTTCATACACTGATCTCAGGGTTTTTTAATCAGATCTATTATTAACATATATTGTCATTTTAACACACTTCGTAACCAACCAATATATGTGTGTAGGGGGGTATAACGTATATTGAGTACAGATAGATGTATACGTGTTTAATGTTTAATGCCTGGAACCCAAGACAAAAACAGATTTGCATCCCCACAACATCCGACATAAGGGTGGTGATGGGCCCGGGGAGGGGGGGGGGGAGAGAGAAGAAAAAAAAAACGCCATAAAATGTTTAACGCTACAAATGTTTGGCTTTATTCAAGCATGACCCAGCTCGCAACACACACACGCACACAAATAGGCTAAGGGGAGAGAACCGTACCGGATTGAAGTATCTGATCCTTACAGTTATTTATCTTCCTCAACACAAAGCGCTGTTCGTCCTAATTTTTTCCCCCGATGAACCCATTTATTCCTACATGTACAAACAGTACACGTTTTAGGCCGGGATCTGCATGTATTTAGTTTGAAGCAATACTTAATGAAGACTTCCAGCGGGCACCTGGAAAGGCCACACAGCAATGGCATTCGTTGGACCAGGTCTACTGTTACAAATCGCATTGTAAATGGTAGATCACTTGTGCGCAGCCGCGGCCTCTTAAAGTACAAATGCCCTATCAATAAAGCCTATTTCAATCAGGATGGATCCCTTATCCTCTCTGCCGGCCAATTATCTTAAAGGCCAAGGTAGGCCGATAAACAAAACGCAACAACGTGTAATATACTTGGACTACTTGAGCACAGGTCTTATCAATTTTAACGGTAGCAACTGCCACGGAGAGTTTAACAACCTGCCCTTAGGAGCTAACACAACCACAACGTCAATTACGTACGCACTAAATTAGTACATACACCGTTCGCTAAATGAAATTAGAAGGAATTAGAAATTAGAAGGAAGAGGAGGGATAAAAATGGGTGGATTAAAAAAAAAACAAGTACACAAGAAAGAGAAATGATATTTGATGTCAGAAGGTTGAAATTATCAATAAATAATCACTCGTGTGTCCGGCTGGCTTTGTTGCGCGATGGTAGGACGAGGGCCATGTTGTCTAACCACAGCCGCGAAACAAGAGTACGGGCCATCAAGTGGGTGGGGGGATCAATTATTGCTTTCTAAATATTGATCGCTCGATAGAAAGAAAGGCTTTAACCGATGGGGGCGAGCTGGCCAATTTAAATCTGATTATCAAATAAACACATTGCAATGTTGTTGTTTTTTCTATTACGCTGGTAAACAAGAATATGCGTGTGTATTGAAAATTTAAAACAATTTAAGATAAAACTTAAATCTAACTCCTATTATAGCCAACATTGTTATTTCAATGAAAATTAAATCCCTATAAGGTCACTGGAGAGTACTTCACACATACAACAACAAAATCACAGGCTGTAAACTCAGGAGCCCCTTAAGAAATAATGGAGTTTTGAGTCACCTTTCAACCCGGTACAAACACATATGTAACAAGAAGAAAAACCATCAAATCGACAAGGGCCTCTGGCAATCACTCAAAATAAAGGCGAAACCGAATGGTAGAATGGACAAAGGCAAAGATAAACAGCGGGGCAATTCGTTCTTCATTTCATCTCTAAAACTAAAACAACCGAATGCTTTTACGTTATCCATTTAGCACTACATTTTAGTTGTTTTTAAAGTATTTTAATGTACGTATTTTTTTTATTTATTTACATTATTTCTCGATTTTATTTTTTATTTTGTCAAACTATGTAAGAACTGTACCCGAATACAATGTTTAATTGCGGGTTCTGTATGTATTTATCACGTCCTATAATGTTATCCGGTTAAACTGGTATATCGGTTTAGAACTAAGTCAAGGAGGGAGGGAGGGGGGAGTGGTAGCGTAGCTGTAAGTCGCCCCGCAACATGTGTTAGAGGGCTGGGCTGGTGGCGGCGAAGAGAAAACTAAATGACACCTAAATGCCAGTTTTGCCTTGAAATTTTTTAGTGCTGTAGGCTGGGGGAGATGGGGAGCTGAACGACGGCAAACAAAGTTATTTCCCTTTACGTGCGTGTTTGTCTTTTAGATTGCACTAACACGGGGGGAGGGGGTTCGGGAGGAGCAGGTGTAAACAATAGATAATAAAGCAGATTAAATTTTAAATAGGATATTTCCGACGTGGAAAAGTACCGACTTCATTAACGGTGTTTTGAAGTACTTTTGAAGTATATAAAAACGTTTAACTTCCCAAACTAATGCTCAAGGTTGTTTCCTTCTTTATACGAATCATATGCAAACAACAAAACAAGATAAAGATTTTTTTTTAAATTTAACAATGTTTGATTGAAAATCGATTGAAATAATTATTTGACATAACAAACAAGATTTTTCGCTACTAAACGTGACTTGTTTACATAAGAATTTTTTTTCAACATTATCATTCTATAAATAATTTTTTTCTTTAATAAATGTATTTTCTATTATAACCCTCCCCCCCCCCCCCACCCCTTACACTGAAACTGTTTAAACACATTAAACACAGTTACTTTTAACCCGAGAGTTTACCACGCACTGATAGGAGTTGTTTAACCATACCGTGTTACATATCCTGCTTCAACACAGGAAGTATGTAGAATAACATGGGTCCAAGTGGCTGATCTGACGTC